GACACAGGCAGAGGGAGAAGCAGGCTCCATGCACCGGGAGCCCGACGTGGGATTCGATCCCGGGTCTCCAGGATCGCGCCCTGGGCCAAAGGCAGGCGCCAAACCGCTGCGCCACCCAGGGATCCCTATAACTATTATAATTCTTTTCAGGTGGAAAAAAAATTACCCTTAACCCTAGAAAACGAAATTTTTCATTAAGCTGTTAAGACAGAGACAAAGAGGTATATAGAATTACCTTGATGTCAACTTCTAGAATCAAGGTCTTATTTTTCCATTTATCCTAGGAGCCTAAACCCATCAGCTGACTTCCTAACTTTCAAAATAGGATTCTTGCAAGATTGAATTGAAAAGGGTAACTCTGGACTGTCCTACAGAGTCTGGCTTGTGCTCACCCTTTCCATAAAACATCCAACTCAGAGCCTAGTACATGTAGGTGCTCAGGGTTTTAAAATCTGGAGAATTGTGATAACCCTGAGGAATAGTGTTTGAGTCTGAGGCAGCAGGCGTGGTGAAGGGCATTTCTAGCCATGCACATCTCCTCTCTGATTCTGGGCATCCATCACCAGAGGTAGCCAGCGATGATTTCCACAATTTTATGACCCTTGGCTGTCATCCCAATAACAAATAAGTCATAAGCCATCCTCTTTCTGTCTGTAAAATTCCACTTCAGCACCCTGGCCGTTCTACCAAAGTGTTTTTGAAACAGTGAAAATAGAGAAAAGAGCCACTTCTCCTTTATGTAACATCAGCATATTTCCTCTGCTGCCACCCACTCTTTCCCTCCCCAAGGACTTGAGGATTGAGGAATGAGGAGTCAACTAGGTAGCAAAGGACAAAGGAGATGCTTATTTGCTTTGCCCCCAGTGGTTAAGTTACTCTAAGTCAAGGGATTGGTGATTTCTTCCTTTCTTTCTTTTTTCTTTTTTTTTTTTTTTGGTTTGGTGATTTCTATATTGTATACAATATCTAAAACAATATGAATATTTAATACTGATAACTACAGGTAAAAACAGTGTTACTACAGAATTTGGGGGAGGTTGATGCACAAAAAGCAGCAATAGGAAGAAATAGATAAATTCTTTTTTTAAATTAATTAATTAATTTTTAAAAAGATTTTATTTATTTATTCATGAGAGGCACAAACACACACACAGAGGCAGAGACACAGGGAGAGGGAGAAGCAGGCTCCCCAACGGGGAGCCCGATGTGGGATTCGATCCCAGGACCCTGGGATCATGACCTGAGCCAAAGGCAGACACTCAACCACTGAGCCACCCAGGCACCCCCAAAAAATAGGTAAATTCTGAATAAGCAAACCAAACAGTCTCATCGGGCAGAAGGATGTATATGGAGGTGTAGTCATTTTGCATAGGTAGGTATTGGGGTTTAAGATCCAAGCAAGAAGGCAAGCCTCTGTCAGGTCAATGGGATCCAGGTGAAGGTGGGGTTCAGAGCATGTGTTGAGTGTCAGGCTGAGGCTGCTTATAGGAAGGGCACATCCAGACTGATGTGCTCTTATAGGAAGACCACATCCAGACTGAAGTACAGACAGAATGGAAGCGCTGACACTAGGACAGGAGCTGCCTAGCCCCTGCCCTGTTTTGTTTTAAGTCTTGGTTTTTGGTAGAAAAATATTAGCAGGTTTTTCTTTACTCTCCAGAAGAAGGCCAGGTTCCGTAGGTGCCTGTGACTGGTCATTGCTCTATAGCCAAAGAACTAAGCTCTCCAGGAGGCCTGGCCAGTTAGACTGCTTTATTCCATTAACAGAGTACCTACCATGGATAACAAAATTAGCTTAATATTGGGGAAAACACAAATATGAGTTATAAAACATATCTCTTGGACTCAGAATATAGCCTGGTTATGGAAACATGACCTAAATGTGTAAAAAGTGAAATAGCACAAAAGTAATTCAGTTCAACAAGATGAAAGAGATTTTGCAAGTCAAAAGTGCAATTTGTGGCCAAATGGATAGTTATATGTAAGTGCCATAGGGAAAGAGCTGTGGGAATGATCACTGTGTTTTGGAGAGGTCTGGGAAGAGAAGGGATCTGAATTGTCTTGTCTATGAATACTTTGAGAGAAATTGTGAAGTTATGCCAGATGAGGGAATGATGAAAGAGTGTGGAGGTAGGACCTGTAAGAGACATTCTAGAAACAGTGAGTAAAACAGCTTAATTCTGTTCTAGTTGAAGTTGGAGAACGGTTACTAGTTGGAGATGAAGCCAACAAGGTAATTGAAATCAAATGTGATGGTTTTAAATAAAAGAGCCCTCCACTTGATCACATAGACACTATAGGGGTCATTGTATGTTTTTGGACCGCTGTACCTGGGTGGTGCAGGTGGTTGAGTATTCAACTCTTGGTTTTGAATCAGGTCATGATCTCAGGGTGGAGAGATCAGTCCCCTCATCAGGCTCTGCACTTCCTGCAGAGTCTGCTTAAGATTTTCTCCCCTTTACTGTTTGTGTTCTGTCTCTGTCTCCCTAAAATAAATAAATCTTTAAAAAAAATTTTTTTTTGGGCAGAGGAGTAACATGCTTAGATATATTCTAGGAAGATTAACCTGGTAGCTGAATATGGACAAATTAAAGGGTAAAAGACTGCTCAGGTAGACCAGATGTCTATGTTTGGTCTAGTCCTACCAGAAGGTGAGAAATGTTTTAACTATGGAAGTGGCAGCAAGAACACAAATAAAGAGATGGATACAAAAAGACATTTTGACAAGACTTAGCACATTCTTGTGCATGGATAAAAGAAGAATGATCAAAGCTAAATCCACATTTTTGGAACCAAGAGACTAGAAGAGTATTCTGTGAACAGAAAGGGGGATGTTAGAAAGGGGTGTGAGATGGTTAAATTTTTAGGAGAAGATAAGGGAGTTCAGCTTCGGAAGATAGTCTTTGATGTAGCAGGAGGCAGAAATATATTAATGGAAGGAAAGAGGGAGAGCCTGCCCATGATAAAGGCAGGAGTTGCCTGCATAGACATGACAGCTCAAACTGTTTGAATGAATGTCTTCCAGAGAGAACAGAATCAAAATGTTGGAAATGCCAACATTTTGAAGGAGGAAGAGGAAAAGGAACCACTGAGGCACACAGTGTGCAATCACACATTGGAGGAGGAGATTACAGATTCTCATAAGCACAGATAAGAACATCAAGAAGGAAGTTGTGGTCAGCATATCAGATGTTGCAGGAAGGTCAAGGGGAATAGGGGCTGAAAAAGGCCCTTGGGTTAGGCAATTAGGAAGTCGTTTACCTTTAAGAACACAGAACTATAGTGTGTGGATGTGCAGGGGTGGGAGGGAGCATAGATTAAGGAATGAGCCTGAAAGGGAAAGGGAGCATGACCACTGATTATAGGTGAGAAGAAGGAAAAAATTAAAGGGGAAGAGGATGGCTGTTACTCCTCTTGGCTTCTAAGTTGGGAGTGTGTGTGTGTGTGCACACACACATGAAGGCAGAAGAAAAAGATTAAGTCATTGATTCACTCGGCAAAACTTTATTAAGTACCTAGTCAGGACTTGGATCTAATTAACAGGGAGAAATTGAAAGCTGTAAGAGAAGGAGAGGACAGGGGAGGGAATCCAAAAGGAGGAATCATGAAAATGGGAGGATATCTTGGTGTTGGAAAGGAGAGACACAGCTTCCTCTGAGACCTGAGAGAAGGAAAAAAGGATGGGGGTGGATATAGATTCTGCAATGTTCTGAAATGAAGAGAATAAAGGTGGGAAGCAAGGTTGCTGACATTGGACTCCTGGACAAAGTGGAAGATGTCTGCTGGGAGAGGGAGGGTGGCCAGGGTGACAGGTGACAGGGTGGGAAGGAAAATGTTCAATGACCACTCCAGCTAATGCGAAGGAGTCAGAGACATGAACATAAGGGTGGCTAGATAGTGGTGCTTGACGGAAACCCAGCTGTCCTTGTGCTTCTATGAGAAATGTTTATCAGCTGCAGTTAGATGATGAGCAGTGTTTGTCTTTACTTTCTCAAGAACTTACCTTCCTCACTGTCTTATTTTTTCTTGGTAGTTTTCTTGACTTTTTTGTTGTTGTTGTTTCTAGAATCACCATAATTGTAAATCATACAACTATTCCAGAGTTATGGTCTTATAGATTTCTGAGGTTATCTCAATTGTGGCTGAGGTGTTGGCATGAAATAACAGTACTTTCTAGATAAACATATTAATAGATGAATTTAGCAGGAAAAGTTAGTGAGTGCCCACGAATGGTGCTACTTACTCCTCCCCCAAAATAAATAAATATTTTAATGTTATAAAACATATAAAATAAATGATCAGGTGTTTTGTTTAGGCCACCTAAATGAAAATATCAGACCGAAAAAAAAATTAAAAAAAAAAAAAATATCAGACCAACTGCTGATCTACTCAGCTCTACAGAATTCATTTAAGATGTCTAAGATCCCAGGGAGTACTTATGGTTCATCCAGAAGCTAGCACATCTTGAGTGGCTCCATGATTAGACCTATGTGGGAAGATGTTTCTTCAAATGAGCTAACCTGACAGAGTGTGTGACAAGGCGTAGTAGACTATGCGGGACAACTTCGTATATAACAGTTACCTGGGTCACCTAATACAGTTGGTTTTAGTAGGATTGCAGCCCAGTGAGAATTGAGGAAGAATCTGTTTCTATCATGAACAATATTTATAAAAATATAAGTAATGAACAAAGTCCTGATACTCTAATTCTGTATCTGAATCTTGATTGTATTCCTGAGTGATTCCACAATTCCCCCATCCCCCTAATTGTGGCAAGGCTGAACACCAGAACTCCTTGGCCCCACCCAAACTTGAGTGGCCAGAATGAGCTTGGGGGACGGGGGGGGAGAGGGAATAGATTCTCTTTCCCAACCTTGCTTTGAAGTAGAGGGAAAGTATTCTGTAGGACCCAAGCCATTGGCCAGAACTGAGATAAATCGTTGAATTCATTCATTCAATGGTGACTAAAATATTGATTTTTCCCTTTCTTTTTCTTGTAGGTATGGCCTCACATGTGCAAGTCTTCTCCCCTCACACCCTTCAATCAAGTGCCTTCTGTAGTGTGAAGAAACTGAAAGTAGAGCCGAGTTCCACCTGGGACATGACTGGGTACGGCTCCCACAGCAAAGTGTATAGCCAGAGCAAGAACGTACCACCTTCTCAGCCAGCCACCACAACCGTCAGCACCTCCTTGCCGATCCCAAACCCAAGCCTACCTTACGAGCAGACCATCATCTTCCCAGGAAGCACCGGGCACATAGTTGTAACATCAGCAAGTAGCACTTCTGTCACTGGGCAAGTCCTCGGCGGACCACATAACCTAATGCGTCGAAGCACTGTGAGCCTTCTTGATACCTACCAAAAATGTGGACTCAAGCGTAAGAGTGAGGAGATTGAGAACACAAGCAGCGTGCAGATCATTGAAGAGCATCCACCCATGATTCAGAATAATGCAAGTGGGGCCACCGTAGCCACTGCCACCACATCGACTGCCACCTCCAAAAACAGTGGCTCTAACAGCGAAGGTGATTACCAGCTGGTCCAGCATGAGGTGCTGTGCTCCATGACCAACACTTACGAAGTTTTAGAATTCCTGGGCCGAGGGACATTTGGGCAAGTGGTCAAGTGCTGGAAACGGGGCACCAACGAAATCGTGGCCATCAAGATCCTGAAGAACCACCCGTCATATGCCCGGCAAGGTCAGATCGAGGTGAGCATCCTGGCCCGCTTGAGCACGGAGAGCGCCGACGACTACAACTTTGTCCGTGCCTACGAATGCTTCCAGCACAAGAACCACACGTGCTTGGTCTTTGAGATGTTGGAGCAGAACCTCTATGACTTTCTGAAGCAGAACAAGTTTAGCCCCTTGCCCCTCAAATACATTCGCCCAGTCCTCCAGCAGGTAGCCACAGCCCTGATGAAACTGAAGAGCCTAGGTCTCATCCATGCCGACCTCAAACCAGAAAACATCATGCTGGTAGATCCTTCCCGACAGCCCTACAGAGTAAAGGTCATCGACTTCGGTTCGGCCAGTCATGTGTCCAAGGCTGTGTGTTCCACCTACCTGCAGTCCAGATACTACAGGTAAGAGTGCTTGCTCAGGGACAGGAGATGCCAAGGGCCCACTGGCGCTGCGTGGTGGTTGCTGGGGGGGGGTGGTGAATGACACTTCTCCAGGGTTGCCCTCAAGGCATCATCGTTTAGTCAGACAATTAGGACATGTATATGGAAATGATGGTTAGAAGCCACGTAAGAAGGGAGCCAGAATGCTCCTTGGCATAGATGTTCAGAGTCCGAAGGGATGCCTAGAGGCCAGGGTGCAGGGCTTGACAGGGGGGGGTTAGGTCCCCCGACACATAGGGAGGATCCAGACCTGGGCAGGCTGGGCCAGAGGGGCATGCATTACTGAAATCACTGCTGTAGGAACACCCAAGACTCACATGGAAGACAAGGAGGACACCTGCCCCCCGTTAGGCCACAGCAGGGAATCTGTGGGTAGTGGCTGATGGGATTGAAAGAATAGCTTGGAGCAGGGTGTCAGGGGGGATCTTAAATATCACACTAAGGGGTTGCAACCATGGAGCACGCACTGAGGTGCCGGAACAGGTAGCAGGGTGAAAGTGATGCTGGGAAGATGGCTTTTATGTCCCTGGGGAGGCAGGAGGGCAAGCAGAGGCCCAGAGGCCAGTCAGCCCCGCCTGCAGTAGAGAGCTCCAGATTTGGATTTGGTCAGGACGGAGGGAGGCCTGTGGCCACCCAGGCAGGGAGTGCAAAGCTTACGCTCCATCACTCACTCAGCAAGAACTCCAGCATGTGCTGGGCACCAGCATGCGGCACAATAGCCCTGGTCAGGCCCTCGCCATCCTGGAGTCTCCAGTGGACTGGTTCCCCACCTCAGCTGTGCGTCGGATGGGGGATGGGGTGGGGTGAGGGACAGGGTTGAAAACTAACCTGGCTTGGGTCCTAATCCCCACAAACTGAATCAGCCCTTCTGGGTGTGGGGTCCTGCATGGGTGTTTTCTAACAGCTTTTCTGGGGATCCCAGTGCGCAGCTGGGGTTTGGAGCAGCAGCTCTGTGGGGACCCAGATGAGAGAACACTGGCTTTAGAGTCCGAGAGACCCAAGGCTGGCCTGAATCCCCACACTCAGTAAGCTGTGTGGTGTAGCCTTGTTGCCTTGTTTCTCTGTGCCTTCACTTCCTCACCCATAAGCTGGGGAAGTCCGGTCACCAGCCTCAGGGTTGCTGGGACAGTGGACCGCAGTGACGCGGCCGGAGTGCTTCCCTCACTGGCCAGCTCGTGGTCAGTGCGTGAGGAGTGGAGAGAAATGGGAAGCAGAAGAGTCTGTTCTGGGGAGACATTGATGGGCTGTGCTTGAGGGGATGTCGAGCAGTCCAGTGATTGTGGAGGTTAGCAGGAAACATCCTAAAACTCCCATGAGAAGATAGCACTGGCACGCATTTAAGAGATTGCCACATAGGCCGTAAAACCAGAGTCCCAAGACTCATGTGCCTGAGCCCCTGTGCCCTGACACTCTGAACGTAGGTGTGCTTTCTCCACCCTTCCCTCTAGGCCACAGAGAAACGCTGCAAAATGGGCTACGTCACGTGGGCCCAGCTGACTGGTCACCTGTCCCCATAGCTGACCCCTTTACCCATCCTCAGCCTGTGAGTCTCGGTGGATAACCTCATGCCCCCTTTCCTGAGAGATCCGAGCCACAGGTCATGTCCCTCCATCCACGGGGACCCTGCTGTGGCTCTGCGCTGCCTCCCCTCCCTACCCCTACCCCTGCCATCTCCTGAGCTGCAGTGACCCTTCTAGGCTCTACTCTCATCCTTCCCCAGTGTTCCTTTCCCACTTTGTCCACCAGCTGCACCATCACCCCACCCCAGCTGAGGAGGAGCCTCTGCCGGCCTCTGCCTCCCCTCCTGCCTCCCTGCCAGCTCCAGGAGGGAAGGCTCTACTGCTCACCGTTGCTGTCTGTCCCTTAGCTCTGGAAGCACATGGAGAGGGAAGCCAGGAGCCCGGTGCTGTGGCCACAGTGGGGTTGGGGGGAAGGCTTGGACATTGCAGGAGAGGGCCCTGTGTGAACCCTGGGGGAAGGTTGAAGGAGGAGAATGTGCAGGGGTGAGACAGCCGGCACATGTTCTCTTTAGAAAGTGCCTTTCTTTGAAAGGTAGCTCTGGGCTGCAGCAGCACGGGTCATCTTCGTGGATCACCAGCCCGGCTGCAGAGTAGCTGGTGCTCGGGCTTTTATTACTCAGTTACCCTCGGTTGCCATTTAGCAAACAGATACCAGTTTTATTCATCTCTACTAGAAACTAAGTATGGCAACTTGTAAAGAGACTTTCAAAAACTTTAAAAGGCAATGCACACTGAGGGCAAAACTTGATGTAAGTTGACTTTGGGAGTCTTTCTGTCCTCGCATCCTCATCTTGTGCCCCAGTGACACTTCCCACCCTTCTTCCCCCAGATGGTCTCTGCCCCTGTGTCTGGGACCCAGCCTCAGGGAGTCCGGTGGGTGCGGAAGGCTTGTTTGCAGATGGTCTCAGGGCACTCCTTAGCTCTCCTCTCCCTGTCTTCTACCTCTGGCCCCTGTACCCCCATTTCCCTCAAAGACCCTCCCTTTGGGTATGATGTCACCTCCTTCTTTAGATGACTGTTGCCTAAAATTCCAGGCAGGCTAACCTCTTCCTCCTCGTGGTCACCTTGGCCAAAAAAAAAGAGTGTCCTTTGGATCCCTATGATGGGCCTCCGTGCCCAGCTCTGGTCTCAAGGACATGGTCAACATGAACGCCACATTCTGTACCCTCCCCAGGCCTCATCTGAACCCCGGAGCAGTGTGCTACCATAGCAAGCAAGACAGGTGCTTGAGGACGGTCATCAGCTCTGCCTGTGCCAGTCCTAGCTGTCTCTGAGGGACAGCCAACTCCAGACCATGTTTATCATGCTGATTTTCCCAATTGCTTTGCCTCTTATGCGGGCAGGGGACAGGACAGGAGAAAACCCTCCAACTGTCCATCGTTTATCTGAGAAGGAAGACATTTTTCAGCCGCAACTTGAGACACTGTGCCTGTGTGAGCTGCCTGGGATAGGGAAGTGAACACTCTGTGGATCTAGCTTTCCATGGGGCCTGGGGTCCTCAGGGACCCCCTATGTCTGTACTGGATGCATCATCCACTGAGGCCTCTCACATTCAAAGGGGAGGAAACTTACATGTCCCTCATTGTAAATGGGACAGTATTAAATGTCTTACCGTGCTCTCTTCCCCAACAAGTGGCATGGAAACGGTATGACAGAGAAACGTTCCTGTCCTTGATCTGAGGTTCATGGAAAAAAAGGTGGTGTCACAGGGAGGGAACTCCAGCATTTGGTTGGCCAAGATTGGGGGCATATTCCTGTAGACGCAAGCCTGTGTTTTTTAGGAAACAGAGGCTCCTTTTTTAGTTTTTTACATATGATGCATGAGTATCCTCTTCCTACTTGACCTTCCAATCTGAAGGTCTTTTATGTAGTTAACTGCCAAATCGTGCCGTTTCTCAAACTGTATTGTGCATGAGAATCACCAGGAGGGCTTGTTAAGAACACATTTCCACCAAGATCCTGCTCCAGACCCACCAAATCAGAATTTCCAGAAGAGTACCCCCAGAGAAAGTCTCCACCCTGTGTGTGTACACGTGCACACGCCCACAGAGTTCAATGCAAGGAACTGCAAGTGAGCTTGTGCAGGGGGTCTTAGGCCCTTTCTGAGAAACACTGCTGGGGAGAAAGAGATTCCCTTAATGGTGTCACCTTTCACGTGCTCACACCCCCAGAAATGGAGTTGTAGGTAATCCTTGGTACTCCCGTTACCTCACCTTGGAAGTCCCTGCCATTTCCCTATGTGGGTCTACACTGATGCCAGTTTTTGTGGGGTTTTTTGTTGGTTTTTTTTTTTCTTTCTTTCTGTTTCGGTGGAGGGACAGCAAGCAATAAATTGATGTGGGGGGTATTTCCACTATTGGTGTGACCAGGAAACTAAAAACAAGACCAAATATTAAGCTCTACTCTCCGGGAAAACAAACAAAAAGGCATACCATTCAGGCAAAGGATAGTCAGTGATTAAAATGTGTAGATTTTCTTGTTTCTGCTCTGGACTGTTCAAAATACCCTATCTAGACTTAATTTAGAATACTTAAGACCATTACTGAGACCTCAAAAAAATGGGCATAAGATTTAGAACATCATAAATGTCCACTAGTCTCCATCTTCAGAATAATCTAACCTATTTTTGTCTGATTCTTTTGGTTGCAGAGATTATCTTCAGATTGGATACATGGTTGCTCGAGGGAGAGTGGAGATCTGTTTTAATCCAATTCATTAGTCATTCACTGGGGCCTACTGTGTGTCCTGTGGTAGATGTGCTGTTCACTGGCACCTACTGTGTGTCCTGTGGTAGATCTGCTAATGGGAAGGAAGTAAAGGAAGATCTCTAATCTTGAGTTTATGGTCTCTCTGAAGTGATCGAGGACACAAACAAATCCCCTAGAGTATAATTCTCATGCTATGATATTGCAAATGTTTGATCACTCTGTAGATATTCATTGAGCCTGTAGGGGACAAATCATGAGAAAAACCAGTTAGAGAAATTCAAAGTCAATGAAAAGACTTTGCCAGAAGGGTTAATAGGGAAGATTTATTGAAGGAATCTTGAGGTGGGTCTTACAGGCAGTGAGAGACCGTGGTGAGGGAGCCTGGGAGCCCCCAGGATTGACACAAATAAGGGAAGATGGTGATATCTGGAAAGAGTTGAAGTCTTGGGTCAGAAAGTAAGGGTTAGGGGAGTGAGGTCTAATAGGGGAGAATATTAATATAGGTGTTGGCTTGGATCTAACAAGAGTAATTTAATGAAGTTAAGGATGTTAAGGAAGTTTAAGCAAATGGAATGGGAAAAAAAAAGTTGGGGGAACCTAGAGGCTAGGAGACAATAGTAGTTCAGGAATAAAAGGCAGAGGCCTTGGATTATAATGCCCATCCCAACAGTATAAATGAGAACACTTTCAGTGCTTTGAACTTTCCAGGTACTGTGACTGCGTAATTGGCCCA